TTCCTCCTATTTATAGCAATAGATTTGTAATAAAACTGCACAATTAGGGTTCTGCAGGAGCGGAAAGTTGAATTCAAATTGAGACAGTTTTTAAAAGTATGAAACCATATTCTCTGCACAAAAATGGCCCCTGAATCTATCTACAGTAATATAACATTAAGGGCCATAAAAAAATAAAAATATAATAATACAACATGCAATCAAGCACATCAGTGGGCAGTCATAAAACCAACAGTCACCTGATCAAGCAATAACATAATTTAAAGGCATCATGACAGCAGCAGCAGTATTCAATAGAACAAGAGGATCAGTGGTCAAGAAATGCCTTCTAAACAACCACCACAACATATTTGCATATAGAGGAAATCAATTCAGAGACAGGCTTATGGACTTCTTTGGGAAGAATACTCAACATATTCATACAGACTGAGTGTAGATTAAACTAAGCCCCCTAAAACCCAACATTCTGTTTCACCTTTGTCAAATGTCCTGAAGATCTGGTATTCAGAGTGTATACTACCTGTGAGTATTCTGTGGTCTCCATAAAATCACACACTCTGTTCATTTTTTTTATAATGATGTTGCCCATATAAGTAATTGGCATGGCATTCAAAGTAGCAACACAGTAGTGTTGGCAAGGTGAAACTTCATGAACAATGATGAATGCAGGCTAGACAGAAACTGATTTTCAGAATTTCTTTTACCTAATGTCCAGAGCCCTGAAAAAATGTGATAAACATGCTAAGCATTCATTTGGAGAGACAGTTCTCTTGGCCATCAGTAGAAAGAACTAAGTAAATGAAGGTAATCCTCCATTGGCATTGTTGATATGGACTTTATGTTGATATGCTTTAGACCTCAGTATGAGAACTGGAATGAGAAAAGTGATTGCTTCACCATTTGGGAAATAGAGGGAGAACAGTAATAACTGACAGCTTTCAGGACAGTAGAGAGGGAAAATCCATGAATTCTTTCTGGTTTTTAGTCTCAATTCTAAAGGATCTTTCCAAAGTGCTAAATCCTAGTCCCCCAAAACCATTTCAGCAATTTGGACAATTCCTTTATAGTTTGGATTAAAAGTTGGAGCTGCCATTGGGTTGGAAGGAGATGGTCATGCAGAGTTTTCTGGCTGCTTTGTATTGTACCACCTCCTAGCACTCACTCCATGGCCAAGAAAGGAGACCATCCTTCCCTCCTTGTTCCCTAACTCTCTCCCTCTCGCCTTCTCTCACAAAAATATGAGCCAAACCTCCTATGTGAATATCAGGAAATGGGTGTTCCAACCTTCCTCCACAATCACCAGTGTGCCAGTGACCTCCTTTCCTGACAAGTCCTTACAAATTACCAAACCCCAATAAGGTATGGAGGTAGCAATTTCCCAGTCTACTTGCATACACAGTTATGTCTCCGTTACATTAGTAACCCATTAATTCACAAAGAGTTCAGAAACGTACATCAGCATAACAAAAGCACTGTGAAGCTTTCCTGCCCAAGCACTGGCTGCCAAGGACCTATGCCTGGGCCTCGAAGTTTGCCTGCCTGATGGGAAAACCAAACAGCGCTATGCTCTCACAAACAAGATGCCAATAGAAGCTGGATCTTGAAAGGCCGTCAAGAAAACAATCACAAGCTTTTTCAGGATGGGTATGGGAGAGACGTGTGCTCCAGACCTTTAGAAGCTCAGCCAGATTTGGCAGTCGAAGGAAAAGGCAGAAGCCATGAGGTACAAATGTAAATGAAATGCTCATTAGGGAAACTTTTCACTCTTGATGAAAATCATCAAGAAAACACACACGATCAAGCCCCCTTCAGTGTGGAGCACACATCTCTCCTTTCTCAGCTTTCTGAAGTATTTCACTTCCTACTCCTCATTTTCCAGTCACTGTAAAACAATCCTAAAAGGTGGCTATCTTTTAGTGTCTAGTATGTTCCCCTCCCTCCCTCCCTTTCATGGTACATTCTAGGCATGTCTGCTAAGAAGTATAACCCATTGCATTCAAGTACTTATATAGAGGATTACAGAATTAAGGTACAACTAACTCAGTGGGCTGCACTTGTATGTCGATACATACGCAAATACTCTGTGAATGCTTTTATGAGCCTTTATTTAATTTTATTTGGAAAAAATAAAGTTTGAACTACAGTGTGAACAGCTCCTAAGTTATTTGTTATCATCATCATTATTAGACTACTATGTGAATTTAGGTATGTGATAGCTTTTCTGAATGATCTGTCCCCACCCTTTTTCCTTCAAAGATATTATAATAATTTACAAAACCTTTTTGCAGAGAAATCACAAGTCTTGAAGTCTTTGATAAGATGTGTTTTTCATTTTGACTGGGGTTTTTGTTTGAAAAAGAATCACATTTGGTAACATAAATTAGATTTACCATAGCTACACACTCATAACTGTTTCATAGGATGCCAGCCACTGGGGAGAGCTGTACTTGTGGTGATACACAGTTGATGAGGAACTATTTGACACATGGGAAAGTTATGTTTTTAGAATAGACCTCCCAGAACATCTAGCCAGCATCATCAGTAACTTTGCCAACCAAGAAGGATTGTAGCTAGACTACCCTCCCTCCTGCCCACACTCCCATGTTCCTACCTATAGTTCTTTGATGCTGTCTGAGCTAATAATGCTGTTACCCCCCCTCCAAAGGTGGGGGTATTTAGAGTCTCCACCACCAGTGATACCATCTTCTTAGTATTTGGGGAAAATTGTTAGCTCAAAAGGAGGCCTGTGAGAGGTGCGTAATTTAAGAGGATTTTTCCACCTATGTATACCTGGAATAATAGCAGAGAAACACTGGTGTTGGTGAATAAAAAGAGTTTTGTTTAGAAATGTGCAAAGGTGCACACAAACATACAAAACCAATACAATTTCAAGAACCATATAGAGCTAACAAAAAGAAAGGTGTGAAAGGGTGGATAGTGGGAAATCAAGAGTTAGAGGGGGTGATAATTACCAGTCCTGAAGAGGGGGTTCCACAGAAGATGGAGAGTGGCTCAGATGGGGTCTGAGGGCTAAACAGAGAGCAGAGCTCCAGTAGGTGTGACAGAGCCTCAGTCCATAGCTGCAAATTGTCCATGCATGGGGCTGATATTTATAGCCTGTTTTGTGCCTTGAGGAATACATGGCGCTATCCTGATGTGTAACAAAGACCTGATGGTCTTCCCATGGAATGAACGATATGATTTCAAAATGACTGGGAGTTTTATCTTTGGAGTAACAAAACATTGGTTGGATTTGAGACAACTCCTAGAATTGGATAGGAAAGGGTGAATAGGGGCACAGACTGGGGTGAAAAGGAAATATGGTTTTTAACTGCTTTGCGATGGGATTCACTCTATCCCTATTGTGAGAGGGTATGCAGAAAGCCTGGGAGAGGTTGGAGTAATCAGCAAGCCCATTTAATCTTTATTTAGTGCTATCCAGGTCTTCTACATGTCTTCAGGGCAGAATGATTTTCCCATGTGAAACTTCCTAGTGTTCCAAAGGTCATTGTGACCTCTTAAAAACATGCCTGACTCTAGATATCAAATATGAAACCCTACATTCAGTGAGATGGGTGTAGGGCATGCTAACAACATACACCAACCATATGTTCACATGACTCCAGACATGACTACAACTGCTCAACCATTACACTGTTCATAAACATTTAATGGCATCACACACAGCTCAGACCACTGGTTTCTGAGTTGTCAAAACCACTAAACGCAGGTAACATATCCAAGGTCATTCTTACCCAACATCTCTGAAGACCATACTATTAACTACTATGCTGAAAAAAAGGTTTCTTAAAATTAGAACAGCTAGTCTGTACTGACCGCTTCTCTTTCATTTCAGAGTCACAATGAAATCAAGATTCCGAGGTGGACATCAGTACTGCTTGCATCCCAAACTCCCAAGTACAAAAAGATTACTGAAGTGGTATACAATATGGAAAGAGAAAGAGAGGTGCGTATTAATCAGACCCAGCACAGGATAACCTAAATTTTAACATGTATTTTGAATGCCTGACCTGAAATTACAATGACAAGTGTGCTGTTGCTCCTGGCTTTCTTTCTGTGAGTTCAATTCAGCTTGAAAGGAACAATGTTTCACTACCAATTCAAAAACCAGATTTTGAAAAAGAAAAGAAAGAGAAATCTAACATTTCAAGTGACCATGTAGATTTCTGCCAAAGAAATTCAGATTTCTACCAAATAAGGTTCTGTTTAAGACTATGGCTGTATTTTGGAATCAACAGATTTTAAAAAATCATTTTAGTTCAAGGATGTGAATACCAAACACCCAGATCAAAAAGTCAGTTTAAGACAAAGAGACATGGGATAAGACAAATTGAATTGCTGAACTGAAATTATTTTTGCCAGTCCTCCCAAATTCTTCTCTTCCTGTCTTTATGGCCTTCTCAGTGAGTGGTCCCTCCCTTGACCTACATTGTGAGTGTGCAGCTGCTGACACACAGCATGAATGAAGTCAGCAGTAGGCATTTGCCCATTCCTGTGAAAATTCCAGTTAGCATGCCCAAGGTCCAAATTAAGTAACGTTTTCAAGCTCGGCTTTCAACCTGAAACTTACTGGATAAGCTTGGGGCATACTGTTTCTGCTAATCCACCTCATAGACTGGAGGGTACACATATGGTAGTGGTGTTCCCGCAACGGGAACCCAGTGTGGGGAGTGGGACTAGTGGGGTGGGACTTCCAGCATGGGACTTCCAGTGGGCAGGACTTCCAGGATGGTGCACGCTCCCTCTTCCCAAGGTGCCGCTCAGAGTGTCACATCACCCCTCATGAGCTGGGGGTCCCCATGGGGTATGCAGTGGCACGTGGGGGAGAGAGCAGCATGTGCAGGATGCAGAGCACATGCACAGGGAGGGAGTGGGGGGTGGGGGGGCTGCCTGAGTGTCATCCTCCCTCCTTGGGTGTCACTTGGTGCAGCCTGCACCCCATCCCCCAGTAACGCTACTGCATATGGTGATCTGATAGAGCCAGCATGGTGTAGTGGTTTGAACATTGGACTATGACTCTGGAGACCAGAGTTCGAATCCCCACTTGGCCACGGAAACCCACTGGGTGACATTGGGAAAACCACACTCTCTCAGCCACCAAGGGAGGCAAAGACAAAACTCTCTGAACAAATCTTGCCAAGAAAACCCTGTAATAGGTTCACCTTAGGGTTTCCATAAGTCAGTAATAACTTGAAGGCACACAACAACAATGTTGCTTTGAGCTCCTTGTCTGATAGAAGGGGGGGGGATACAAAAATGATTAAACTAAATTTAAAGAACCATACCAAGGCCAATGAAGATGGCATGCCAATTTCTGTGAACTTGGCAAGTACTAAATCAAATTATGTGGCAGCAATTGAGCTTGTTCCTGAACTGAAGATGGTTACTCAAAGGTAAGGTCCATAAAGTTCAATGGGACTTACTTCTGGTGAGGGTTATTTTTTTCCCCCACCCTTCCTCATGTCATGTTGAAATTTCCCCCACCCCTGCCTATATGTGAGTGTTCTTGTGGCAGTTCATTGGGAGATGGAGAGAAAATGGTTTGTACTGCTAAATGTCAACTGTTATGTAACTTTATTTTTCCTTGTTTATTTTTGAAAGGCAACCATTTATAACAAAGGAAATAACATATTCAACGGCTTCAGCTTAAATAATGTGAAGAATTTGCCTTAGTATAACAAGAAAACCTTAGGTCTCATCAATTAAGCCTGTCTAGACAAATGTCCCAATGCCATGCATCATACTGCCAGCTGTTTGGTGATAATAATGGGGGCCTCCAACTTAACACTTAATTTCTGTTATTTCTCTGGCTTGTTAGATCTATAATGTCAGCACTGTCTCTTACAGATCATTGTGGCTAACTAAAAAACAAAACAAAACCCACACATACAGCGGAAGTTCCTTGGCTGATTTGAAGCTGATCCCAACACAACCAGTTCCATTGTTTATCCCAGCATCTGAAGACATATTTTCACTTTCTCATTTAACTTCACAGAAATGCATAAACAAGCCACCATCTTCCATTATTAAATGCTAGGTGGAAACAATGGAATCTAGTGACAGGAATCCTATATCAGTTTATACTTAACTAAGTAGTTAATAAGTAACTTCTCCTGACCTCACCTTCCAAACCTGATGGAAGCATCATTCAACCAAGCTCTGATCATTGACAGAATGGCCCTCCTTCTCCTCATGCAGCTGATGCCCATAAAGCAGGGCAAGCGGTGAGTTATCATTGAGAAAATAGTGTCAAAATCATAACTCAGCAGTGACCATGAATACAAAGCAGTTACTTATCCATAATTGTTTCACGTTCAAGATCACTATTTAGTCATGTTTTGAAACTATTGCTGTGCCACAGTTGCCCACCTAAGCTATAGACATAGCAATTGATTGGAACAGCAAAGCATTACACTTGTGTCTTTATCCCCTTTCCACCACCACTCAAAAAAATGAGAAAAGGAAAGGACATCTAGCCTTCCTAAGAACCAAATTTTTTTACTCCTAAGACATTGGGAAGGCAGCGGCAGTCCTTGGCCTAAATTCAATTACCTTGGCAAATGATCAGTGTAGACTTTTAATAAAAGCAGTTGCTGCTTGCTCTGAGTAGGATGAAAAGGAAGTGGGATGGAAAAAGAGGGTGTGAAGAGAGCAGCAGATGAGGGAAGAAGAAAAAGACCCCCCCCCCCAAAAAAGGCCTGGCTTGCCCTACTATCACTTCTGGTCTCACTTAGTTGTTTTAAGAAGAAGCCAGACCAAACTTAACGCCTAACAGAACTGTTTTATTGGAAAAGAACAGTGACAACTACATAGTTAACCACCTTAGATTATACATAGTGCCACCTACAAATGGAATATCAACATGGGAGTACAGCTAATCATCACATTTCCCCCCTACACTTACTTTTAGCCCTTTTGATTTCCTTTAGTAAAGACAAAGAATTTGGAGATACAGCCAGGTTTCTCTTCCAAAACACAAATGAGAGAATTAACCTGCCCTTCTTCAAACTCTTCATAAAGAGTTCTGTTGCTGCATGGAAACTTTGGGCCTTTGCAGACTGCTAGAAATACTGCAAATTGAGTCCACTTTAACTGCCCTGGCTCAGTGCTAGGGAATCATGGGAATTGTATTTTTTTCTGAGACATTGAGCGTTCTCTGTCAGAGACCTCTGGTGCCACAATAAACTACAGTTCCCATAATTCCCTAGCACTGAGCCAGGGCAGTTAAAGTGGACTCAATTTGCACTATTTCTTGCAGTCTGCAAAGGCCCTTTCTTTCTAATCTAATCATTCTGAGGGTCTGCTGAAGCTGTAGCATTCTGGGGTGGAGTACTGTGCCATGGCACACAATAATTTGAAAGATTAAAGCTTGGAGCTCTCTAACACCATGTCAGCCAAACCAAAAATGGATGCCTATCAGAAGAACACTCTGAACTGCTTCAAAGTGAGCAAGTGTTGCCTGCATTTGGAATAGGAACAGTATGGCTCATCAACATTGGCTTCTCCTGTGCCCATTGACAGCATGCATTCCTTTCTAGGTTTTCCTTCATGCTCTAAATCTGTCCACTATCCTGAGGACTGTCCAAGCTAGATTGGCTTTTACAGTAGCAGAACAAGTGCACTTTCACATTACACAGTTTTAGTGCTATGATTTCACTTTAACTACCATGGCAACATTCTGTGGAATCCTGGGACTGGCAGTTTAGGGAAGGGCACTTAAAATTTTCAGCCAGAGAGCTCTTGTGCCTCATCACACTGCAAATCCCAGGGTTCCATAGGATGTTGTCAAGGCAGCTGAAGTGTGGTCATTGTGCTACAGTTGTGCAGTTAAGGGCCCAAGAAAGGCTTTCAGTTAATATTCTGATGAAATCCTTTCTTTTAAGGTTCTAGGTTGAACTGTACCATTGAAAGCAAAGGCTGGCATTTTTGGATCAGTGTGGGTGATTGTGAAAGCTGGACAAGTGAAGAGAGCTGATAGGAAGAAAATAAACTCATTTGATGTGGTGCTGGGGAATGTGGACTGCTAAAAAGACCAATAAATGGGCCCTAGAGCAAATCAAGCATGAACTCTCCCTAGAAGTCATGATGACTAAACTGAGAGTGTGATATTTTGGACATATCATGAGAAGACAGAACTCACTAGAAAAGAAAAAATGCTTGGTAAGGTAGGAGGCAGTAGGAAAAGAGGAAGGCAGCATTTCAAATGGACAGACTCAATCAAGAAATCCATGGCCCTGAGTCTGCAAGACCTGAGCAGGGCTGTTGATGACAGGGTGATTTGGAGGCCTCTCATTCGTAGGGTTGCCATAAGTCAAAGTCACCTTGATAGCAGTTAACAACAAATGTCATGAAATCTAGATTGAACAGTGTACACTCAGAAGGGACTGTAATCATCTGGATCCTTTGTGCTAAATACCAAACCAATTTGAATAATATTTTTAAAAAAAAAAATGCTTTAGAAGATTGTCTTCTTGTGTGAAAGAGAATCAATAACCCTGTTATCCTAAAAGATGGAGAACTTTGGGGGTCCCCACCAGCAATGCCAGCATCTCCTTGAAATTTGGGGAAATTATAGTGCAAAAGAGGCCTGCAAAAGGAGGTTAACTGCATGGTTCACCAGTTTCAGTAAATAAAGTATTTTATTAAGAGCGCATGCAGGCATAGAAAAACTAACCTTAACAATCATACAAGGCTATCAGAAAGAAAGGTGTGGAAGACTGTTGAGAGAGATTGTGGGGGTTAAAGAGGGTGATAATTATTGGTCCTGAAGAGAGGTCTGTGGAAAATCTGGAGTGGCTCAGACCACATCTGAGGGTTACACAAAGGGAGTCCTTGTCTGTGAACAATGTAGCTAGGGCTGGGGGGGGGATATTTACACCCCCATTTCATACCCTCTAGGGGTGTTTTGCATTATATTGGGTATGACAAAGGCCTTAATGGATTTCCTAGGGGACTGACTAAAAGGTCCGAAATGGCTAATAGCTTTAGCTCAGGAATGACAATACATTGACTACATTTCAGGCAATTCCTTAATGATAGGATAGGAAGAGTGTAGATGAACATAAGGTGGGGTAAAGGGCATGATAACTGGTTGCTTTACAATCAGTAAAGGGATGTGGTGGCCAGTTATGATGATCAGAGTGCTGCATGATGGGGTGAGCTTCAATTACTAGCCCAGCTTCTGCCAACCTAACCCTTCAAATGCATGCACATGCAAGTAGATAGATAGGTACCACTTCTCAGTTGGAAGGTAACAGTCATGCTTGGTGCAGTCATGCTGGCCACATCTGAACAGTCCTCGGACAATGCTGGCTCTTCAGCTTAGAAACAGAGATGAGCACTGTTCCCTATAGTTGGCTACCACTAGACATTCATGTCAAGGGACTACCTTTACCTTAACCTTACAATACAAATCCCTTTGCTTCCATTGTAAGCAGAAATGCAAAGAGTGCCATGGCTGTTTATGGGTGGTGTGTTAGTTGGAAGGCTCCTGCAGATATGACCTGTCCTCCTATGATTCTCTCTGTTTTGGCCAGAGCATAGTGACACTCTGGTTTGGATCTGTCCCTGATGTCTTGAAATCCTGTGATCAAGAGCTGCTCTGTGGGTCAATCTTGGTAAATAATTTAGGGGAGTTAGGATGCCTAGTTTGCAATGGTTTTCCTGTGGAACTTCCAATGAAGAGCAACTAAAATTGTGCTGCTTGGTGTACTCAACTGAGAGAATCAATTGCAAATACTGTCCTTATGGTGTGTCATGCCCAATAAAGACCTATGGCACTACTCTTCTAATAGTTGCCACTCATTTGTAATAGCACAAGTGCAATATTTTGAGATGAACTTTCAGAGGAGATCAAAGAGTCACTGGGGACTCCTGCTTGCAGAAATATGACATCTCACTCCTCCATTTACCATATTATGCAACCATTACAAAGAAATGCTGTAATATCAAGTGTGCCCTTAGCTGAGGGCTTTTATACTGGTACACAAACCCAAAGCAATGTTAATATTCAGCCCTCTCCCCTCCAAATCTTTTCCTCATTATTTACCC